ACAGTCTCACTATGTTGCCCTGGGTAGAGTGCTGTGGCGTCACAGCTCACAGCAACCTCAAACTCTTGGGCTTAAGTGATTCTCTTGCCTCAGCCTCCCAAGTTGCTGGGGCTACAGGCGCCTACCACAATACCCGGCTATTTTTTGGTTGCAGTTGTCATTGTTGTTTAGCAGGCCCGGGCCGGGCTTGAAGCTGCCAGCCTTGGTGTATGTGGCTGGTGCCTTACTCACTGAGCTATGGGTGCTGAGCTAGATATAAATCTTTCATTTTCATCGGTTTACCTGTTCATACTACAAGAATTTAAATGTACTCTGTGACAAAAGGGCACTTGATTGATTGGCTACTTTGTTGTTTTTCTGCAAAGAATCTACTTGAATAGATGCTACATACACATGTTTGCTAATAATACCTACAGTATTTGTCCCTAAAATCCTTTTTTTTTTTTTTTTTAGAGACAGAGTCTTACTCTGTCACCCAGGCTCCAGTGCCGTGACATAATAGTTCACAGCAACCTCAAACTCTTGCGCTTAAACAATCCTCCTGTCCCAGCCTCCCGAGTAGCTGGGACTACAGGCATTTACCACCATGCCTGGCTAATTTTCTATTTTTAGTAGAGATAGTGTCTTGCTCTTGCTCAGGTTGTTCTTGAACTCCTGAGCTCAAGGGATCCACCCACCTTGGTCTCCCAGAGTGCTGGGATTATAGGAATGAACCACCTCTCCTGGCCTTCCCTAAGATCTTTAAATACTTTATAATTCTCAATATCCTTAGTTGGGAATGTAATAAACTTATAATGGGCAAAGCCCTAAACAACTGAATTTTAAAGAATGCTAAGAAATCCATTAATTGGCTTGGTGCCTGTAGCTCAGTGGTTAGGGCACATACACCAGGACTGGCGGGTTTGAACCTGGCCCAGGCCTGCTAAACAACAATGACAACTACAACAAAAAATAGCTGGGTGTTGTGGTGGGCACCTATAGTCCCAGCTACTTGGGAGGCTGAGGCAAGAGAATCACTTAAGCCCAAGAGTTTGAGGTTACTGTGAGCTGTGACATAATGGCATTCTACCAAGGGTGACATAATGAAACTCTGCCCCCCACCCCCCAAAAAACGTCCTCACTTCCTTTATCTTGTAAGTTTCAATACACCTAAAAATCCTATATAAATGCGCTTTTTTATACAATAATGGATATACAGGAAGTGTAGACATAATCCTACGTCTACAGCCAAATTTACCGTTAATTATCTTAGAATAGGATAGTTTTATCAGTTTTATAGAATGAGCTGCATTTAATGTGCCAGAATTGAGGTATATTTGTCTGAGACCAAGAACTATTTTCAGTTTAGTTTGTGTCACCAGCATGAGAAGTATTTTTATAACAAATTCAATTACGTTTAGATTATTAGCAAAATGACTATCATTAAATCTAAAATATATAATAAAATTAAATACAGACCAAACATTTAGTTAACTAAATCATAAAAATTCTAGTCAGGCGTGGTGACTCACATCTGTAATTCTAGCACTCTGGGAGGCCAAGGTGGGTCAAATGCCGGCAGTATGAGACCAGCTGGAAGAAGAGCAAGACCCTGTCTTTACTAAAAATAGAACAACTAGCCAGTCATTGTAGGGCATGCCTATAGTCACAGCTACTCGGAAGGCTGAGGCAACTCGGAAGGCTGAGGCAAGAGTAAGACTTTTATCTCAAAAAAGAATAAAAATAAAAACAAAATAAAATAACTAAATTTGTTTTTAAATTCCTTTGAATAATTCCATCCCTCAAGCATATTCAGAGACCTGCCTACCTTTTTGCTCTTTGGAAAGCTGTTCAGCTTGGTCCCAAATTTCGGTGGCATAGAGGAAGTTGGATGTAACTTGAACATAGCTGGCTGCCATGTGGTGGATCCTCTGTGGAATGGTTACTGAAGAACCACTTGCTGAAGCACTAGTGGCTCCAGAAGAATGATTTCCTGAATTGCCTGGTGAAAGCTTTGGAGAAACAGGAGAAGGCATCCCAACAGCTTTGCTACAAACAGAGAAACAGAAAGTATGTTCATAAGGACATGGTGAACATTATGAAATCAACATATTATTGACCCTTCCCATATGAAGACTTTGTTTTTAGGAGTCTAACTTTCTTGCCCCAAGAGGAGTGCGTCATAGCTCATAGCAACCTCGAATTGGGCTCAAGTGATCCTCTTGCTTCAGCTTCCCAAGTAGCTGGGACCACAGGCACCTGCCAAAACACCTGGCTATTTTTTTAAGAGACGGAGTCTCACTCTTGCTCAGGCTGGTCTTGAATTCATGAGCTCAACTGATCCACCTGCCTCGGCCTCCCAGAAAGCTGGTATTAGAGGCATGAGCCACTACACTCAACCCCCCTTTATGAAGATGCTTGAAATTTAAAGATTCTATTAAACTAGATGGGTTCCCAGAAAAATACAATTTCTTCTAAATAAGTACTAAAGGGCATAGTGAATTATGATCTTATCTATTTAATGAATAGCAACAGAACAAGCGATGAGAGTAGCAGGTTCAAAGACTTCAGAAGACAGATCACCTCACCCTCAGCTCAACACACTTTCTATCAATTCAGGCATATAATTTCAGATTTTTCAAATTGTTTTGTAGAGGTTAGATGGAATTCATATTTAACTCAAAAAACAGGGATAGTAGATAGAAACATCTATTTTTTTTTTTAATTTTAACTTAAATATAGATGGGGTCTTGCTTATCCAGGCTAGTCGTAAACTCTTGGCCTCAACCAATTCTCTCACTCCAGGCTCCCCAAGAGCTAAGATTACAAGTGTGAGCTACCACACCCAGCCAGGAACATCTTCTCTTCAGTTCCATAATTTCTGATGTCCACAGCTAATTGAGGCATAACCCTCTCAATCAACTGCAATTATCTCAAGCTTCCTGCCAATTAAATACTTCTTAGAAAACATCTATGTTAAAAAATCTGGTAAGTTTATTTCAGACATATTTAAATTTGTAGAAATGTCCAAGATAATGATCATACAATGAAAAAAAAAATCAGGTCAGGCGCTGTGGCTCACGTCTCTAATCCTAATACTCTGGAAGGCTGAGGCTGGTGGATTGCCTGAGCTCATAGGTTTGAGACCAGCCTAAGCAAGAGTGAGACCTCGTTTCTAAAAATAGCCAGGCATTGTGGTGGGCACCTGTAGTCCCAGCTACTTGAGAGGCTGAGGCAAGAGAATCGCTTGAGCCCAAGATACCAAGGCTGCTGTAAGCTATGACACCATAGCACTCTACCAAAGGTGACAAAGTGAGAGTCTGTCTCAAAAATAAATAAATAAATAAATGAACAGATAAACTCAATTAAAAAAAGGTCTCATGGGGTTTTTCTTCTTTTGTTGCCTGTGGTAGAATGCCATGCCATCTCTGCTCACAGCAACTTCTCATACTCTTCTCAAGTAATCCTCTTGCCTCAGCCTCTGGTAGGCACCCACCTTAATACCTGGCTATTTTTAGAGACAAGGTCTCACTTTTGCTCAGGCTGGTCTTGAACTCCTGAGCTCAGGCAATCCACCCACCTCAGCTTTCTAGAGTGCTACGATTACAGTGGTGAGCCACCATTCTGGGCCAGGATTTTCCTTCTTTGGGGGGGTGGGTGGAGTGAGAGTGACTTGGGATGGAACGTAAATCACAATCATGCCCCTCTTATCAAATTCTGGCAGTGCCAAGGTTTCAGTAAAGATAAACCCCCTATGATAATCCAAGTACTAGTAATTATGGAAATCAAACTGTGAAGTGGGTTGAGGGCTATTAAAAACTCAGATTTCTGGCTTGGCGCCTATAGCTCAACCGGCTAAGGCGCCAGCCACGTACACCTAAGGTGGCGAGTTCGAATCCCCAGCCCGGACCCGCCAAACAACAATGATGGCTGCAACCAAAAAATAGCCAGGCGTTGTGGCGGGCGCCTGTGGTCCCAGCTACTTGGGAGGCGGAGGCAGGAGACTCGCTTGAGCCCAGGAGTTGGAGGTTGCTGTGAGCTGTAATGCCACGGCACTCTGCCCAGGGGGACAGCTTGAGGCTCTGTCTCAAAAAAAAAAAAAAAACTCAGATTTCTATAGGTGAAATGTCCCATCTCGAATCCTTTGAACTATATTCATTTATATTTCTGATTCATAAAAAAAGAAAAAATATAACTTTTAAAAGTATTTTATTAGAGATAGTTTTAGTTTGTTTTTTTTTTTCAGTTTTTGGCTGGGGCTGGGCTTCAACCCGCAAACTCCAGTATATGGGGCCAGCGCCCTACTCCTTTGAGCCACAGGTGCCACCCAGTTTTAGTTTTTTAAAGTGGTCATCTTTTCATTTTTAGAAATTGGACTATACCAATTCCACTTTTATATTATATATCTGTCACAAATAATATTTTATAGAATAAAATTTTACCTACCTTCCCAAGCCAGGTGATGGTGCTTGAGAATTATTGTAAGAATTCTGTGGGGGAAAAAAATGTACTTAGCAAATAAAACAAAAAATACACTAAAGTACTGAATATATTCAAAAGCATTGGGCTGACATTAAGCAGCTTTATAAATTTAAAATACCAAAATAAATGCATTTGTGCATGTATGTGTAAATGTACACCAAAAAGATGCTATTAAGTGAGAGCTGGGGTGTTCTGGAAGATTTAACAGAAGAGGCAAGGAAAGAATGAGTAATATTCATATGGAAAAAGGAACGGAGAGAGGGCATAGAGAGGTCATATTAAGTGCAAAGACTGCAGAAAAGAGAATGTATGTGGCCCACACAGCTTGCCTAAAGCAGAGTTTGGATAAAGACTAAGAAAGAGAGAGATCTGTGGGACAGGGTAAGGAGTTTGGATTTGACCCTGCAGGTAACAAAACAGTAAGTTACTAAAAGGTTCCAAGTCATATCAGAAGAGCATTTTAGGAGGATTTATGTGGTGCTGGCCTGAAAAAAAACAGAATAATGCTTTTTAGCAAATGGAAGTTAACAGTCTAAAAAGAACAACAGTAGTAAAAACTAATGATCACAAAAAGTATATATATGGCTATAGCATATGGCTATGTAAGTTCAATAATCAGATATATGTGCATTAAAAATTTTCCAAGAAACCTCACACTTATTTGAAAGGTCCCAAGCAGTAGTTCTATCACTGCTGTGTTTTACCTAATCATGAGGGCACTTGTGGGGTTGGGACAGGAGACTTTACAAATTTTATCTCCCTAGAAGCAGACTCTCTTTTTTATTTTTTATTTTTTGCAGTTTTGGGCCAGGGCCGGGTTTGAACCTGCCACCTACAGCATATGGGGCCAGCACCCTACTCCTTTGAGCCACAGGCACCGCCCAGACTGTCTTCTTTAATACATACCTTCAGGTGCTCCGTCAGTGTCTTTGAGTACTTCAAAGCATTTTCCTTCTTCAGTTTGAACAGCCTCAGGTATAGCAAAGACTGGCATCGCAGGCTAGCCAAGGGAAAATGGCAGTTTATTTACCAAGAGAGCATACTCTGGTCACATCTGCATAGCCAACCCTTGTGTCATGAAAAAGTACAAGACTGGCTCATGTGAGCAGACCAAGGCATAAGATCATAACACTAACCCTTAGGCAAAACAAAAAGATGTGTTCTTACTGTGATATATACCTGAGAGAGGGGAAAATGACTAAAAAACCTAGGACTAGTTCTCCCATGTGCATTAAAAACAAACACTAAGGGGCAGCATCTCTAGACAAAATTATAAATAATCTATTAAAAAACAAAACAAGGAAACCAAACATGGCTTAAAAAGCCCTGCCGATTAGCCCTGCCTACCTGTTTAATCACACTCACTTTTTTTTTATTTTTGAGGCAGAGTGCTGCCCCCAGTAGAGTGCCATGGCGACACAGCTCACGGCAACCTCAGACTCCTGGGTTCAAGAGATTCTCTTGCCTTAGCCTCCTGAGTAGCTTGGATTACAGGCACCCACCACAACACCTGGCTAGTTTTTTTAGAGACAAGGTCTCACTCTGGCTCAGGCTGGTCTTGAACCTGTGAGCTCAGGCAATGCACCCACTTCAGCCTCCCAGAGTGCTACGATTACAGGCATGAGCCACCGCACCCAGCCTGAAAAGTAGGGTCCAGCTAGTGCCAAAGCTGGTCTCAAACTCCTGGTCTAGAAAAGTAACCATATAAGATAATGGAGTGGCTAGAGATAGTGGCCCATGCCTATATTCCTAGCACTCTGGGAGGCTGAGGTGGGAGGATCACTTGAGGCCAAGAGTTTGAGACCAGCCTGGGGGACATGATGAGACCCCTTCTCTATCACCTCCCTTCCCAAAATTTAGCCTGGCATGGTGGTGCCCTCAGAAGGCGGACGCAGGAGGCCTGCTTGAGCCCAAAAGTTCAAGCTTATAGAGAGCTATGACTGTACCACTGCATTCCAGCCAGGGTGACAGAGTCAGACTCTTATCTCCAAAAAGGAAAAAAGGGAAGGAAAAAAAAAGGACAATGGAGGGTTCTAATATCGGTCCCAATATACCAGGGCTCCTGTCAACAAGACAAGGCAATGAATCTGAATCTGAGACTGAGAACAAAAATATTTCAGAAGGAATTCTCAGTTATTTCCTGTTTGACTCACCAAGAACAGATTTATGAGAAGATTATAAGAGGGTGATTCAAGGAGAATATTAAAAAGAGTAGCCACAGCACAGTTTGTTTTAAGTCCCATCTTATCAGAGCAGAATACAGGAAACTTTTTTTTTTTTTTTTTTTAAGACAGAGCCTCAAGCTGTCCCCTGGGTGGAATGCCATGGCATTACAGCTCATAGGAACCTCCAACTCCTGGGCTCAAGCGAGTCTCCTGCCTCTGCCTCCTAAGTAGCTGGGACCACAACCAACTATTTTTTTGGTTGCAGCCGTCATTGTTGTTTGGCGGGCCGAGGCTGGATTCGAACCCGCCACCCTGGGTGTACGTGGTTGGCACCTTAGCCACTTGAGCCACAGGCGCCAAGCCTGAACTCTGGAAACTTACCAAAGTACTGTGAGTCTTTTATCTGCAGCTGTAGCATCTGGTGCCAAGTAATTCTTTAGCTTCATTGTGTATCTGTGAGTTAAATTAACAAACAAATGACAAATAGACAAATGACTTCACCCTGATCTTATAAATTCTTTCTTCCTCAAAACATTAGAATTTCAAACCTAAATAAAGGCAAAAATACCTACTGAAGTAACTTGCTACTTTATTCAAGGAAATAAAGTATTAAGCATCCTCTTTAGCTTACTGTATATAATGTATTAGCCCCTTCCTAGATAACTGGAGAAATAATGTCGTTTCCCCCACAAAAATGTTTTCAGATGGGTAATGCGCTGGCATCATAACAAGGTTTGAGGGAGACACATATCGCACATCAGCAAGACAATCCAATCATTACACTTACACGAATTACAAAAAGGTCAAGAAATAATGTTACTGCCAATGAAGTCTTCTAACTTACTTGATGAGGTCCACTGTCTCTGAATACATAAGGAATGGGGATTTGGATTCCTGAGCACTTTTCTCTAATGCATTCCCACATTCAATGAAAGATACCACAGCATCAAGATAGTATACAGCTTTCTCAAACCTATCAGACTGAGGAAAAGAGAATAAAAACAACGAGTAGTGATCTATCACTGCTACAAATAATGCATGACAATATAAGTTAATTTGATCAAATACATAAATGTAACAGAATATGTACATACCAATGCGTCTGCATTGTGCTTTAGCTTCTTTGCTTCTTGTAAGTAATGGTCTGCTGAATAATTCCTGCAATGCACAAACTTTCATTATAAATAAAATCGCAAGTATTTTCACAAGATAATACTTATTCACTTCAATCTCTAGAACGAACCCTTCAGTTTTCATGTTGTCAAATAAAGAAAATTATTAAACATTCATTTCAGATTTTTCTCTGACAATTTTTTTTTTCCAGACAGAGTCTCACTTGGTCACCCTTGGTAGAGCGCTGTGGCCATTGTGGCTTACAGCAACCTCAAACTCTTGGGCTCAAGCAATTTCCTTGCCTCGGTCTCCCAAGTAGCTGGGACTACAGACAACTGCCACAATGCCCAACTATTTTCTAGAGACAGGGTCTCACTCTTGCTCAGGCTGGTCTAGAACCTGTGAGCTCAGGCAAGCCATTGGCCTCAGCCTCTCAGGTGTTGGGATTATAAGCGTGAGCCACCACACCTGGCCTTCTGACAAATGTTTATGTTAATTTAATAGCCTAAGTCATTTGGGGCCAAGTCATGACAAATCTACTTAGGAAAATAGAAACTAAGCTATCCAGCATTAAATAATAAATTACCCAAGTTATTTGAAAGATTAAGTATATATTAATCCTAGGATCTTACTCACCTATCATCAAAGGTAAGCTTTGTTCGTCGAGGCTTAGAAGAATCAAGAGTCGGTGCAGATGGAGGACAGTTAGAGGAGCTATTTGGAGCCTTTTCCTGACCAAAAAAACACATAGCTTCAGTGAAAAATATACGGAGATTAAAAATTAATACTAAGTAATAGTATTCCCTCAGTCTATAAAAAAAAAAAATTTCACTGCCTTCAGTAATTATTTATACTTTTTTTCTTCAGGGTCACAGAGATTTTATTTAAGAAGAACAAAGAGGAAGTTCAGAGTTAGAATTGGGTCCCTCTCATGGAGAAGAGAAAAGAGAGAGACCTATGTAACAGAAATATTCATTCTAATACTTACTAAGGATCTATGTAACACTATGGGACAGGCACTGGCCTAGGCACTTATTAAAACACAAGGAAGACAAAAACCTAGTAGATAAATGAAAATAGCAATAATAATATGTAATATTTACCATGTACTTACTATTTACCAGGAATTATCTATTAACTAATAATTCAACTAAGTACCCAGCACAGTCATTAATCCCTTAATAACCCTATGAAATACATACTGTTATTAAATAATATAAAAACGCAATTTCAAGAAGGTTGACTAACTTGCCCAAGTTCAGATAGTTTTGTACTGGTATTCCTAGGATTTGAATTTTAACACTTTCCTAAATTTTATTATTGCCTCCATGCAACAGCTATGACCCTGTCTCTTTACAACTGCTCCCCCATTCACCCATAACTTTAATACAAATTTTTCCATAATAAATAGGTAGAATTTATCCTATGAATGCACGGATGTCTCAACATTAGAAAACCCAATAATATGTAACTGTACTACTTGTACTAAAAATCTATTTTAAAGGAATCATGTAATAATTCTTTTCTTTTCTTGTATGATAAGAGCTTTTCAGTTATATCCATTACAGCTTACTTCAAAGAATAAATATAAAACTCCTAGCCTGACGCTTGTAGCACGGTGGTTACAGCGCCAGCCAAATATACCGATGGTGGCGGGTTTGAACCCAGTTTGGGCCAGATAAACAACTGCAAAAAAAATAGCAAGGTGTTGTGGCAGGCACCTGTAGTCCCAGCTACTTTGGAGGCTGAGGCAAGAGAATCACTTAAGCCCAAGAATTTGAGGTTGCTATGAACTGTGACACCATGGCACTCTACTGAGGGAGACATAGTAAGACTCTGTCTCAAAATAAATAAAAGTCCCGAGATTTGGAAAAAAGCCAGTTTTCTTTTTTCTTTTTTTTGAGACAGAGCCTCAAGCTGTCACCCTGGGTAGAGTGCCATGGCATCACAGCTCACAGCAACCTCCAACTCCAGAAGACTCAAGCAAGTCTCCTGCCTCTGCCTCCCAAGTAGCTGGGACCACAGGTGCCCGCCACAATGCCTGGCTATTTTTTTGGTTGCAGCCATCATTGTTGTTTGGCGGCCCCCTAGCCACTTGAGCCACAGGCACCACGCCCAATTTTCTTATTATAAAGTTTCCATGACCTTGGCTCGGTGCCTGTGGCTCAAGTAGTGAAGGCGCCAGCCACGTACACCAAAGGTGGCGGGTTTGAATCCAGCCCGGGCCCACCAAACAACAATGGCAGCTGCAACCAAAAAAATAGCCAGGCGTTGTGGCGGGTACCTGTGGTCCCAGCTACTTGGGAGGTGGAGGCAGGAGACTCGCTTGAGCCCAGGAGTTGGAGGTTGCTGTGAGCTGAGATGCTAGGGCACTCTACCCAGGGGGACAGCTTGAGGCTCCTGTCTCAAAAAAAAAAAGTTTCCATGACCTCCTGAATAGTATGTTGCAGCATTAACAAAAATGGTAAACAAGCAATAGGAGGTTTGAAGAAACAAGCACAAAGGCCTCAATCCTAACAGAAAGAGACATTCAGCAAGTAGCCAGACAGAGAACTGGAGTAGTGAAAGAGACCAACAGAACTGTCAGGGTCCTAAGTACATTAGCGCCAACATCAAACTACTATAGAAGAAAGGTGTTGGGGCTAGATGTTGTGTTTCATAATGGGATGCTGAGGCAGGGAGAATCACTTGAGGTTAGGAGTTGATGGCCAGCTTAGGCAACAGAGCAAGACCCTGTGTCTAAAAAAAGATTTAAAAAACTAGCAAAGTATAGTGGCTACATGCCTGTAGCCCCAGCTACTAAGGAGGCTTAGGCAGGAGGATCTCTTGAATCCTGGAGTTCCAGTCTAGCCTAATACTGCAAGTCACTGTCTAAAGGCGGGTGGGACAAAAGCTGTCTGTATTATCTTAATTTGAGAAGTTGTTCATACTGAAAATAACCTCAATTTAAAAAATTTATTTGCTGGCTCAGTACCTGTAGCACAGTGGTTAAGGCATTGGCCACATGCATGGAGGCTGGCAGGTTCAAACCCGGCCCGGGCCAGCTAAACAATGACAACTGTGACAACAAAATAGCCAGGCATTGTGGTAGGTGCCTGTTATTCCAGCTACTTGGGTTGCTGAGGCAAGAGAATCGCTTAAGCCCAAGAGTTTGAGGTTGCTGTAAGCTGTGACACCACAGCACTCTACCAAGGGCAACATAGTGAGACTCTGTCTCAAAAAAAAGAAAAAATTATTTGCTACATTTAAAAAATAACAATAACCTTTAGCAGTCTGATTTTTCAGTTCTCGTTTGCTTATTTAAGTCACCAATACTAGATATTTTTTTATTTCAGGTAGCTTGCTCCTAACCAGAGCATTTCAAAAAGCAAAGTAAATAACCTGATAAACAAACTGAGGGTCTATTAAAGTACAGCCTTGAAAAAGCCTCTTTTGGCTTGGCACCTGTAACACAGTGGTTACAGGGCCAGCCACATACACCAAGGGTGGCAGGTCTGAACACAGCCCCAGCCAACTAAACAACTGCAACAACAACAACAGAAAAAAAGCTGGGCATTGTGGCAGGAGTCTGTAGTTCCAGCTACTACTTGGGAGGCTGAGGCAAGAGAATCGCTTAAGCCTAAGAGTTTGAGCTTGCTGTGAGCTGTGACAACACAGCACTTTACCAAGGGTGACATAGTGAGACTGTCTCAAAAAAAAGAAAGAAAAAGAAAAAGCCTCTTTGATCCCCATCCACAAACGTGAAGAATATTTCCCTACATCATAAGCATGCTAGGAATGACAATAATTGGAATAATTCCAATGCTAGCTCACAGCTAAAGATTTTTTTCTATTTCATGAATCAAAGTCAAATAGCTGCTTTGTCACTTTATATAATAGCTTGCCTGTGAAGTTTAATTCTAAGAAACCCTAAGCCTCTTTCAAACAATATATAAGAGCTATATCTAGAACCTTTTGATTCTTAAAATAAAAAGTTCAATATGGGCTGTGGCTCTCACCTGTAATCATACATTCAGGTAGGCTGAGGAGGGCAGATTGCCCGAGCTCATGAGTTCAAGACTAGCCTGAGCAAGAGCGAGAGCCCCCTCCCCCCTGCTCTAAAAATAGCAGGCCTGTGGCAAGCTCCTATAGTCCCAGCTACTTGGGAGGCTGAGGCAAAAGAATAGCTTGAACCTAAGAGTTTGAGGTTGCTGTAAACTATGACACCATGGCACTCTACCAAGGGCATTAAAGTGAGACTGTTTCAAAAAACAAACAACAAAAAACTTCCATAAACAACTTTTTCAATTATCAGTTTCTATCTTTTTTTCTTATTTTTATAATTATGAAGTCTCACTGTATTTCCTATGCTAGAAAAACTTAGGACTTGAATTCCTGAGCTGGAAAAGTCCTCCCCCCTCAGCTTTCTTCTGTAACAAGGACTACATACGTGTCCCACAATACCCAGGGGTTTCTATCTCAATATGCATGAAGCAGCTGACTTGCTGCTTTCTTTTTTTTTTTTGAGACGGAGCCTCAAGCTGTCCCCCTGGGCAGAGTGCCATGGCATTACAGCTCACAGCAACCTCCAACTCCTGGGCTCAAGTGAGTCTCCTGCCTCCGCCTCCCAAGTAGCTGGGACCACAGGCGCCCGCCACAACGCCCGGCTATTTTTTGGTTGCAGCCGTCATTGTTGTTTGGCGGGTCCGGGCTGGGGATTCGAACCCACCACCTTAGGTGTACGTGGCTGGCGCCTTAGCCAGTTGAACTATAGGCGCCGAGCCTGACTTGCTGCTTTCATGGTCTCATTATCAGCATATAAATTATCAGGTTTACAACATACAGAAAGTACACAGGCCTACAAATTTAATGAGATGTCAAAAACATTTCAAAGTACAGTGTCACCTTGGTGAAACTACATAGCAATGAGTGATTTTCAAAAGCCTGAGGCTACCAAACCTTACCTTAACCTCCTTAGAACTACTAGAAGTCTTCCCTTCAGTCTTCTTCTGCTTGGATGTGGAGGAACTGTTTTTGCTGCTGCCACTATTCTCCTTGTTGCTGTTATTGCTTGACTTTAAGGAAGAAGACTGACTAATAGTTCTCTTCCGAGAGCTGTGTTCTGTTTTGGGATCTTTTGAAGGAACAGGCCCAGCAGGAGAAGGTAACAAATCCTTTTCTTTTGTAGTACTCTGCTTAGATGACCTGCCAAACCAAAGAAATGCTCTCATTTCTCACAGAGTAATAGAGTGTGATGGATTTTTCCATTTCTCTTTGCCTGCTTTCAAGACAAATTTATTTCTACCCACTGATTACTAGGACACAAGTGAAGTAAAATAAAACTGTAAATTCCATGAGGGCAGGCATCTGTTTCTTTCCCCATGGTTAAATATCCAGTGCCCCAAACACAGCCTATGATACAATAAACACTCAATAAATATTGGATGAATGAATGAACAAATAAATGAATGGTGAAAGAAGAGACTAATGAAATTAAGTTAGTAACAACTCTCTTGAAAGTTAAAGATAAGTTTGCCATCTAACCAGAAAGTGGTAATCTTTAAGTTCTACCCTATACTCACCCCAACTCTACCAAAAAAAGAAGAGAAGTAACTAAATTTTAATTGTTTTCCAACCCTCTTAGCTAGTGGTTGTCAACCTTCGTAATGCCACAACCCTTTAATACAGTTCCTCATGTTGTGGTAACCCCCAACCATAGAATTTTTTTTTTTTTTTTTGAGACAGAGCCTCAAGCTGTCCCCCTGGGTAGAGTGCCGTGGCATTACAACTCACAGCAACCTCCAACTCCTGGG